TTTTTTAACCAGTTACATTTCTCAATCTCCCCACTGAAAATTCAAAATCTAAAACATCTTATAAAATCTTTTGGACACAGAAATGCTAGCTTTCAAGAATTCTTACATTTAGACAAAAATAAGAACTACTTACATTTCTTCAGCATTTATAATTTACAGAGCACTGAAAAAAATCTTCCTTAATTCTTTTAAGGACCCAGTTAAGCCTTGTTACCCCAAAACTACAAGAAGGGTGCCTTGTTCCAAACCTATGGCACATGACACAAAATGAATAGAACTTTGATCCAAACCTAGGACTTTACCATGGTCTATGAGGTGTGTCAGGTGTGAGGACTTCCAGAACTCCAGATGCCATTAGTTCTAGGCCTAACCCCAGGCCCCAGGCTATGACCTGGCCCCCAACTCACAGAGACAGCATGCTTGCAGGCTTGGCTGTAAAAGGGGTGACTACTAAATGTTCCTTGACTCCTTCTGCCACCCAGCTCCGTACCGGACATGGCAGTCTTCTCAATACTTTTCTAGTTCCATCCTTTGTCATTTGAATTTAAAATTCCAGTCATCATCATCTTTTCTTTTCTTTTTTTTCCTCTGTGTCTTCCTTCTCCATCTCCGTTTCCATGGAGGTACCAACATGACTGATGCCTAAAACCAGGCCACTGCTCCTTGGATACCACATTACCTGATTTTCCAGGTTTGTTTTTTTCAAAAATCCCCTTCAGGCATTGTCCACTAAAATACTTTGTAAACTACAGATCTCTGTTAGTACAAGGTACTGATATTGTTGTTAAAGGAAGATTTTTTTCCCTAAGACTTAAATTAAAAGCAATCGTTGGTTGATATGATAAGGGAGAAAACCAGATTTGGGTAAAATCTGTTGTTGAAGAATCTATAAAATGCTGAGTAATTCTTATGGGGTATATAAATAAGAGTCAAATTATTTAGATTTCCAAGCTCCAATTACATATTTAGTATTCTAATAATTCACAGGGATCTTAAGAACTCTTTTTCCTAAATACAATCTCAGTCATTTCTAGATTTTCAAAGGAGCTACAATTATGCTAGCTACAAGAACAAAAAAAATGTGACATTGGGATGTATGTAGTATGTTAATGCAAAGTAGCTAAACAATCCACAAAAGTTCTTTCTAATTTTGACTTAAACAATCTAGTCTGGTTGCTTTAAGTCTTTAGAGAAAAAAACAAGAATAGTGAAGTTATGAGTCACATCTGTGTGCTAGGAATATTTATTTCAAGTAAGACCTTCATTTATTCCAGACTGGCTAACTTCACTGTCAAAATGAATATTTGTCACTGACTCTATACTGTAAGGATATGGCCTGGAATGATTACAAGTCATAATTAAGTACCATACAGGCTAATATAACTAGCAGAAATTAAGGAAGGTATATCCTTTAATTAACTAAGAGATGCCCTGAGTTTTACTTCATTTCACAGGTTTAGTTAGGATACAAGTATGAACATGTACCTAAGAAGAGTTATAAAAATGCTTTGCTCACTACATGGCAACGATGACTGATGTCAGGTCAGGCATCACCTTGGCCATGATGTGATCACACACACCTTGATTCATCAGAACTAGGCTTCCTGTGAGCAAAGCCATGCAGTTGGTGGGCTGATGATTGTGCAGGTATTGAAATCCCCATCCTCTCCTGTATGAAGTTTCATACATATATCCTGAGGCATTGGCAATCACTTCAAGAAACTTCTCCTGTTGTGTCTTGCTCAGGTAGTTGTATAAGAAGTCATAAGCAGTGGCAAAACCAACCAGGGAGTGAGCAAGTGGGACTTCATCCCAAGGAGCATCTTTCACCAACCTGCAAAGAAAAATGAAATACATAAATGAGTGCACTAGGGCTCAGCTTTCAGCACTTTTCATAAGTGTCTATTTTGCAGAACTACAGGGCACAAATGCAGAGATAATCCAAGAGGTTTTAATGACATAGAATTGACTTCCTTCCACATAAGACAGAGGCATAAAGTATGACTCATGAAAGTTAGAATTAACACTTTTTTTTTTCTCCCAGACTTATGGCAACATCAAGTTTAAGAATTTTTACTTTTTGTGTTTTCCTTCTTGATGAGAGGTGGTAGAAAATATTCAAAGAGATCTAAAGCACAGAACATGTAATGGCAAGGCAAAATTCCCTGGAGGATCTGCTCAACCAGAGCTCAACCCTTCCTTTCCATTACCTAAGGGGCTCTCAGTTCTAAGTAACTTATGGCTCTGTTTTTAATAAAGTTGAACAGGAATATCAATCTTATTTCCTACGGCTGGTCAATGTGAAGGTGTGATGGTCTACAGCCCAAGACCTCTCACTATAGATAGACTTACATGGTTAACACCACAATGGGAAGAGTGGCTAAAAGGCTAATGTAAGTGGGTTCTGATTCTACCTCAGAATTTCTATATTTCCATTATTTCCCATAAACTGCACTGCTGTTAAGGTCCTTCGAATACCTTTCAGTGAAGACTAAAAGCTGACCTGTGAAGTATTACAGTGTCATTTACTAGGCAGCCAAATTTTTTTCTGACTCACTAAAATATTTTGCAAATATTTTAATAGTGTGTGGCTTGCATTAAAGGAAGTAAAAAAAAAGATCATTCACAATCAGAACTAAAATGAATTATCCATAAAACTCTTCTCACCTGTTCAGGAAGTATTTGAGTAATCTCGTAGAGAGGGAAACAAACTTAAAGTGTACTGTGCTTGGGGAGGTCGAAGAAAGTCCTCAGGAATTATGCTGTTGCTTCACATTCTATTCCATGATCCCTGAACCATTTTGGCAACTGAGTAAAACCTTTCTGCTTTCTCAAAGTGGCTTAAAATTCATAAGACTAATTTGAAGAGCTACAAGGAAATGTCATATTTTGAAATAAAACTATCAATATATGTATTTAAAAGATAATGATGCTTATGTATTAAGGAATTAAATATGAACATTTAATAGTGGGGATAATAACTCCCTAATTTACAAGTGGAGATGAGCATAAATTTCGAGATGTTTATAACAACAATAATATAATATGAAAACATCTGATATGTATCTGTAATTAAGCTACAGGTTCTCCCAATGCTATTAGAGTTGGAGTTAGTGAAAATTAAGATCCAATATTTTGCCCCAATGAACTCCAAAGACCTTAGGTTAAGTACATTTTTAAATATTCTGAGAGATCAACTCTTCCAGATTATGTTCTTCTTTCATAAGTTTATGCTAGAGAAGACATCTTGGTGAATCCTTTCCTGGTCATTCTGTAAGAATTTCAAAACCTCCCCAAACAATATTTCATTCCCCTTTCCCCTTCCTTGCTTTTCTGTCCTCTTAGCAGATGTACGTGTATGTCTGTGTATGTTAATGTGCGTGTATGTGTGTATCAGTCACAATAGGATCTCTAGTCATAGAATCGTATGTAGCACATAATAGACTCTCAATAAACATTTTTGGAAAGAAAAGACAAAGGTCACCAATCTATAAAACCAGGCCACATTGTTGACAATGATTATGTGATCATTGTGAAATCAGGAATTTGGAGGGTTGCCTTTGCATTTATTAATAACTTCAGCTTTGGGGATATACCCTGGTGCTACCTTTGGTGATATACCCTGGTGCTAAAAAGACTAACAGTGACCATATGTTTAAGACCAAATGGTCACAGAAAAAGCTGTCTTATTCTAGCAGGTCAGCTTACCAGGGTGTGTACTGCTTGTAAACAGAGAGTGAGAATGTGAATTAATTCCCTACTTCTAGGAAAAAAACAATTCAGACTGAATGCTTATTGTCAGGGAGCTAGAAATATGTTCCTTGCTCTCAGGGATTGGTGATCCTGACAGAGGCCAAGTTATCTAAGTTATCTGGTGCCTAGCTCTGTGTTGTTGAACCAGGTCATGATGCATCTCTAAATGACAGCTATACCCCACCATGATAAAAATGAGGTCAATGAACTACTACTACCTACCAACTTTCATGCATTAGCCAATGGATTTACCTATTTATTTATAATCTTTTTTTTTTTTTTTTGCAGTGCTGGGGATTGAATCCAAGGTCTCAACATGATAGGCAAGTATTCTACCAGAAACCACATTCCCAGCTGCATGGGTTTATTTTTATAGGAAATAGAATACTTAGTATAATCCTCAAACTTCAAGAGATACTATCAAGCAAATTTTTGTGAAAATTCCCATTCCCCAATATAATTTTTCTTATTTCAAGGATTTCCCAATTCAACAAAACACTAGCATACAAGTAAAAGATTGGTCTATGGTCCTTCGAGCCTGAAGAACCCATCCCTCATTATAAAAGCTGACCTGTAATATCTGTATTTCAAGAAGGCTATCTAGATTCTACACAGTCATACCAAGCCTCAGATTCAAAGTGTAGTAATGGAAGAGACCATATTTTATAGTCTCCTTGATATTTTATAGAAATGTGCTCCTAGCCAATGGATGGCAGAAGAAAAACTCTTATTGTATGGGTGTCTGATTCTGACCAGTGATTAATAAATTCACTGGAAAAGCTAGTTAAGTGAAGAATCATTAAAATAAATAAATCAATAAAGCAGACATCAATTTGTGAATTTTGTTTCAACTTAAAATATGTGTTCACTAATCTTTTAAATGTGAATCAAAGCCCGTTCTTTATAATATGGGTCTATGGATGAAGTTTCACTGTTATTTACTGAAAAGAACATACACATATTATCTTAATTTCCAAGTTTGATTTCTTCATTATACTGAAAGAAATAAAATACATTTGTGAAAGAATGTAGAATCCTTCCAGATTTTTAAGTTCTCCCCAAATTGTTTGCAAATATCATCAAAATAAAATCACAACAACAATATTTTCTACAGTAAGTTGTTCCAAAGGATTTAAATTGGTTTTAGAAACATTAGCTTTTTCCTTCTGGAACTCACACTTCATCTATTTAAACACTATTACTAAAATTGTATAATTACATGTGTCATTGAAACTGGGATTAACCATCTGCAGAACAGCAGCTAATTCAGCTCCCTACTCAGTGCATTGAAATGCTTTCCTGATGAAATCAGTGAGAGGGTCAACAAAGGTGGATTTATTTTCATATTGAATAACTTAATGGGTCAACCTCTGAAAGATGAAGAACCCAGTCAACAAACATTCAAAATAATAAAGGTACGATATTACCCAACCATGCAGTGGAATGGATTTTGATGTAAACCAGTATGAAAAGTTTGTTAACATGGTTTGCAATTCTACCCTGTGACTAATTTTCATAGAACCACCATCAGTCTAGTTTTAGTATATAATCAAAGAAGAATATCCATAATTATATGAAATGGTTATTAAAATGTGCTTCCCTTTTCAATCACAGATCTTCGTGGAGCTGTGGCTTTCTTCATATACTTCAACCAAAACAACACACTGCAAGAAATCTGAACATAGAAGTAGGCCTATGAGATTTGCAAAGATGAAAAAAGATTTTCTATCTTACAAAGTATCTTACAAAGTACTTTTCATTTTCAATTTTTTTTCCTAAAAATGTTATTTATGTTGACATGAAATGAGTGTACTATTTTTAATATAATAAATATGAATAAATACTTTTTAAACTTCCCTTTTAATTTGCAAATGACAAAGTTTACTAGACATGGCCCCAACAAGCAATATTCTTTAATGTACTTATTAATTTTTAAGAGTACAGAAGCGTCCTGAGTCCAAAGGTCAAATACTGCTATTTAAAATATTTTCAAAGGTGAATATATATGAAATAAAATGATTTGAATGTGGAAAAGAACTATTAATTTCCTGGGTTTGAGGGTAGGGTGTTGGTGGGGAAATGAAACTTATCACAAAGTGCTGTTTCTGCAAACTGAATTGTGACCACAAAAGGAAGAAAAGAGGCATAAACATCTTCTCAAAATTTAGCAGCCTGATTCTTCCAAATTTTATTATGACAATTTTATAAAGATAGACAGCTTCCACTATCATAAATGCCTTCTGAACTATTGATTATGCACAGAGTACTATAATAGGGAATCCAAGTGTATATTACTTAAAATTTGACAGTTTGATTAAATAACCAATAAAGAGTCTAGTAAAATATTGATGTTTTATATATATATTTGTGTTTATTAATGTTCAAATGACTGCATCTTAAAATTTTTCATATAGTTTTAATAAAAATTATTTATAGAAAACAATTACCTATCAAAATATTAATTTTTAGTATTATAAAGTCCATAGAATATTATTACTGGAAGTTTATAGAGTCAAACTGCTATAACAAAATGCCACAGACAAGGTGGCTTAATCAACAAAAAAGTATCTTCTCACAATTCTGTGAGGTAGAAGTCTGAGACTAGGGTGCCAGCATACTCAGGTTTGGATGAGAACACTCTTCCTGACTTGTAAAAATGGCCAGCCTCTGTCTTGCTGTGTGCTCCACGTGGCTTTCCTAAGTATATGAATACAGGGAGAGAGAGCACATTCTTGGTGTCTCTTCTCACAAGGGCCTCAGTATGGTAAACTCATCTAAACCTAACCTCATCTAAATCTAATCTCCTAAAGGTCCCGTTTTCAAATATGTCCACATTGCTGGTTAACTAGGACTTCAAAATGAATTCAGGGGGGATACAGTTCAATCTACAGAACCTGTCTACTTCACTTAGACAGTAATTTTAAAACAAATACTCAGAATAAAAGAAATTACCATTTAGAATATAAGTGGTGCCAAGAGATAACTAATACTAATTTAAATTAATCAACAGTTTATACGAAATAACTACTAAAATTAATGGGGTAACTCAACTCTCATTTTATAATATATTATGGCTATTAG